AAAGGCACAAAGCTACACTGAGAAACCCTGTCTCGAAAAAACCAAAAAAAAAAAAAAAAAAGGTGTATGGGAGCTGGAGAGATGGCTCAGTGGTGAAGAGCAGTAACTGCTCTTCCAGAGGACCTGGGTTCAATTCCAGCACCCACATAGCAGCTCACAACTGTCTGTAATTCCAGTTCCAGGGGACTCGACAGTCATGGCAAAACACCAATGCATATAAAATAAAAATAAATAAAAAGAAACTGCAAAAAATGGTGTATGACATTTAAAATTATTTTATATGCGTATGGGTGTTTGGCTTGCAGGTATGACGTATGTCTGTACATTACCTGCATGCCTGGTGCCCATGGATCCAGAAGAGGGCGTTGGATTCTCTAGAACTGGAGTTACAAATGGCTGTGAGCTACCATATGGATTCTGGGAACTGAATTCTAGTCCTCTATTTTAAAAAAAAGTGCTGTTAACCACCGAGTGTCTCTGCAGTCTGTCTCTGTGACTTTTAGAGACTTTGGTCCATTCCTGTTTTCGTCTCCAGGGTGAACCAGGCTGGAGTAACCCTCCATGTGAGTGGTGGATAGTGAACAGCAAAGAAAGGTTGTTTTGCATACCCTGTTCCTTGTGCCAGCCGCAGACATGGCACAGTAGTGAGCTCACTGTGTAGCCGCCAGTGTGACTCGGATTGCTGGCCCCCGCCTAAGGGCTTTGTCCTGCGGGCTCTGGAGGGGGCTTCCGCTTGTGTGCCTGGACTGTGTGTGGACACTGGAGTTAAGGGTTTGGTTCTGGCTGTAACTGCAATTGCCCTGTTGTGTGGCAAGCAGAGGAGTCCTCTGAGCTGGGGTTGACACTCGCTGTGGGCCAGGTTCACTTTGGATGCTTCCGCTTTTCTCCTTTAAAAACAAACAGAGCTATTCTTAAAAAGTTTGGACAAACCTGCACATGCAGGAGTCAGTCATACTGTTTAAAAAGCAGTTTTTTACCCCCAGAACCCCTGAAGGTAAGGTGACGGCCTTGGTGAGTCCAGTCTGAAAGCTTTTTGCTTTCCCCACATTAGATGAGGTTCTTTCCAGCGTCACTGTGTTTGTGGTGATCTCTGCTGTCCCCAGTCTTGGGGGGCTGTTCTGCAGAGCCGCTGCTGTGTTTGGAGGGGTCCTGGACAGTGCTGTGTTGCTGCGCCTCACACTGGTACGCTTCCGTCTGATGAAGAGGTGCCTTTCTGCCCGCCACCTTCCTGACAGCTCTGAGAGTGTTGGGTGCCACCTGGTGGCCGCTGTTGTCCTGCTCTGGGTTGACTGCAGGGCTGTTTCTGTTTTAGATGACTCCCCCAGTGTCTTCCTGCACCCCTAAACCATGTGGCAGCTGGGCCTGTCAGAAAGCCTGTCTTAGGCTCAAACCTGTAGGGGGTCCATAGAGTTAATTGGCTGGGTCTCGGTGAGCACATACAGGTCCCCACGTTAGAGCTAGAATGTGGAAGGACACTGATGTTGGCCTCCTCCCTGCCAGGTTTCCAGGGTGCTGCAGAAGGATGCAGAGCAGGAGTCGCAGATGAGGGCAGAGATCCAGGACATGAAGCAGGAGCTGTCCACTGTGAACATGATGGACGAATTTGCCAGATATGCCCGGCTGGAAAGGAAGATCAACAAAATGACGGACAAGCTCAAGACTCACGGTACTTCCCCTGCAGTTACCTGTGATGTGGCAGGCGTCACGAGGGCTGATCAGGGGCTGTGTGTGGATTTGAAGGGCATTCTTTGCTTCCTAGATGGCTGCACAGTGACCAGACCTTGTAGTTGTATAGAGGATCTTCCACAGTAACTTCACTTCTCCCTCTTTGCTGGTCAACATTTGCTTCCTGTAGAAGTCATCATAGATTCTTCATCCTCTAGACTTTCATTTTCAAGTTTGGCATTTGCTGAGGGAAGTCCAGATAGAGATCACACAGTGGGTCCAGGTACTTTGTCTCACTCTCAGGAGCGTGCCCACAGTGTGGAGATGTCAAGGAGCAGCTCCTGACCAAGGATGGTGCACACTTGAGTTCTGGTACCCTGAGGCAGAGTCAGGCAGGTCTCTGAATTCAAGGCCAGCCTGGTCTACATGGTGAGTTTCAGACTAGCCTGGGATACATAGTGAGAAGTACCCACAAACACACACTCTGTCTTTGTCTCTCTCTCTGTCTCTGTGTCTCTGTCTTTCTCTCTCTCTCTTACACACACACACACACACACACACCTCTCCAGACAGCAGTGTGTCCTGAGAGGCTCTGCTGGGCTGTGTAAGGTGGAGCAGGTTGCACACTGTAGAACTCACAGGGGCCTGTGCAGGCCTGGGAGAGCTGGACTCCTGCTGGAGGTTTAAAAAATGGAGATGATGTGTAGTCCTGTTGGTAGGCGGCAGGTACATTAGGAAGAATCTCTGATGAGTGGCTTGCAGGGAGTCCATGGTGCAGTCTAAGTAGGCTTGTACTTAAATGATGGCCTAGTGATGCAACTTTGTAAATTCTGTCAGTTAGCGTACAGATAAGGAGCTTCGTCATGGCATTTCATACTGTGTGCTGTACTTGGTCCTGTTTGGTGTTTCTAAGTATATTGATTATTTCATTTATAGTTAGAAGATGTTTTATTGGGGAAAATAACACTTCTGTTTGGGTATTTTCTCAACTTTGCAGGATTAGTTCATGTTTCACTGTTTTTCTTTCAGTGAAAGCACGGACAGCTCAGTTGGCCAAGATCAAATGGTTCATAAGCGTTGCTTTCTACATCCTGCAAGTAAGTGTGTGGTGTCGCCCGGGCAGCTGTTTGCTTCTTTCCTTTTTCTGCGTGTGTGTGTGTGTGTGTGTGTGTGTGTGTGTGTGTTCACTGGGAGGACTGACCAGGTAGGGTGTGATGCCCCCACTCACCTCATCTTTCTCTAGGCAGCTTTGATGGTCTCACTCATTTGGAAGTACTACTCCGTCCCTGTGGCTGTGGTGCCCAGCAAGTGGATCACCCCGCTAGACCGCCTGGTCGCCTTTCCTACTCGAGTAGCAGGTAGGTGGTAGAGGTGTGTGGTGGGAGGTTAAACCGCCTGGCGTTGTCCTCACTGTCCTCTTAGCAAGCCCCCCTCCCCAAATCTCAGCCTTTTGGAGTCTAGAGAACCTGCTTGCAGGTCACTTGAATGCTCAGGAGCAGAGATACAGCCCCGGCACTCAGGCCACCTTCTCTTCCCTGTGGCTGCCACACTGAGTAACTTGCTGCTGTTGGCTGTTGCTTTGGATGTTAGAGGTTGTTCGTGTCATTGAAGAATGAGCAGACACATAGGAATATGTTTTTGGGTTGAGGGGTGGTTGAGACAGGGTTTCACTGTGTGGCCCTGATTGGCCTGGAACTTGACTGTAGACCAGGCTGGCCTCAAGCTCACAGAGATCTGCCTGCCTCTGCCTTCCCAGTGCTGCTGGGATTAAAGATGTGCTCCTCCATGCCCTGGCAATAGTAACAATTTTTAAAGAATCATGCCAGTTGCCTTGTGTGTGTACTTTTAGTCTAGCACTCAGGAGACAGGCAGGAGGATCTCTGTGAGTTCAAGGCCCACTTGATTTACATAGGGAGTTGCAGACCAGCCAGAGCTACTTAGAAAAAAGGGCAGGGGCGGGGGTGGGGGGATCCTGCCAGTTACAGATAACCCCAGTTGTGGTCTGTTTCTTCCAGTCTGTCTTTGCCATCTGTTTTAAAATGGTCAAGGTCACCTGGTTTAAATCATTTTATGCCCCTTCCACTCCAAAGTCAACACAGGGGCTTAATATTAATTGTCAATGTTTGGCAGATAGCTCAGGCTTGTTACTAACTAGCTCTTCCAGTTTAACCCATTTCTGTTAATCTGTGCTGCCCCAAGGCTGGTGGCGTTTACCTCTATCCCATTTTGTGTGTCTGACTCGTTCTGTGTGACCCTCTGACTCCACCCTCTCTCATCCCAGCATTCTTAGTTTGGTTGTCCTACCTATACTTCCTGCCTGGCTACCAGCCAATCAGGTTTTTATTAACAATGAGAGCAGTACATATTTACAGTGTACAAAGATTGTTCCACAGCAGGTAACTTAAACAGATCTGCTTCCTGATGACTGGAATCCAAGGTGAAGGTGCCATATATTGGTATCATTAGGACTCATTTTGTGGTTGACAAATGGCACCCTTTCAAGGGTCCTTGGGTAAGAGGAGGAAATGTTAACAATGTACCGTGTAAGCTTCTTCCTAAAGCTGACCCATGACCTCAGCCTCTCCCAAAGGCCCTGACTAATGCTGTCCCCAGGGTCAGGACTTAAGCATATGAATTAGGGTGCAAACATGTAGGTCACAACACTCTGTCAGTAAATTTTTTTGGCAAAGAATTTTCTTGTTATTTGAATTTTCCTGTTAGGACACTTTCTCAGGTCCTGATTTTTACTAGTAGAGATAATACTGCTGGATGTGGTGGCTCATCATGCCTGTGATTCCAGCCTCTGGGAAGCCAAAGCAGGTGGGTTGCTGCAGGTTCAAGGCCATTGTGGACTAAGTGTAAGAGCCTGTGAAAAACCAAAGTGTATGTTCTTGCCAGTCATAGGTTCTGATGTGTGATAATACTGTAGTGGTACAGGGTGTTCTTACAGCCTGTTACATACCCAGTGACATCTCTGGCAGCAAAGGGATACTAGGACTGTGTCTGTTGTTCTGGGTGGTCCAGCCTGGTGCACGGTGCACCCTGTGTGTGAGCTGTAGTCATGAGGTCCTTTTCTTACCCCTCAGTACCTTCCTTCCTCTGTGTTGACATGTGTATCCTCTGACATGAGCTTCTTTCTTTTAGGTGGAATCGGAATCACCTGTTGGATTTTAGTCTGTAACAAGGTTGTGGCTA